CTGAATTTCCCTTGAGACTTTATCTTTTGAATTCGACTTGTAACTTTAATAACCCTTTCGAGACTCAATTCGACGGAATGAATTGACTGGTAACTTCGATTTGGCTTATTTTGACTCGGATTCTGGAACGGTTGTGGAATCAGATATTGCCTTTCACATTAGTGACTTGCGGGAATTGTGATAGAGAACGATACTTGCGATTGGTTATTCAACCTCTTGATCATCACCACAGTCCTTAGGATTATCCTTGTTATCACCCTTAACGGCATCACCCGTCATTGCTTCACCTATTATCAACGCTCAGTGGCATCAAAGTATTACTTTAAAGTACCATATCGCCCTACTAGATCCTTAACACATATAAAAGTTCCATTTCACTTACCCAATTTATCTTTATCTCCCCGTACACCGTTGGGGTTAAATTGGCACTTATTCCATAATATTTTACTAAGCTATCCCAACAACGGTTACACTAGCAGATTTAAATAAAACATCAGAAATTAATTCAAATAATGCAGATGCATTAGCAGTCCGTGGAGAAACTTATCGCAAGATGAATAGATACGAAGAATCACTAGCAGATTTAAATAAATCATTAGAAATTAATCCAAGTAATGCGTTTGCATTAGAAAGTCGTAAAAAGGTTTATAAACAATTAAATAAGGGAAATAAAAGATTTAAGTTTAAGTTTTGGTAATACTGTATAGTGATTTAAATATTAATCTATGTGTTTCTCAACATTAGAGACAGCTGATGAAATAAAATTAATCTTTAGTCAGTTTAGAGTACTTTTCAGAAATAATAAGATATTTAGTAAGAAGCTCAATATCTCACTATTTGATATTTTTTCTCATTGGTTAGTTGTCTACGAAAAAAATACAAATAACCAAATTGAACATGTTATATTAACGCACAAAATGATAAAGGTTGTTTAATTTTTCCTTGTATTGCATTAAAATATATGATAGGATCAAATACAGTAAATGGGTGAGAATCTTCCTCACAACCAACATATATTGACATCTTACATAGCAAAATCTAGTGGAGGCCGGGTAGTAGAGTTTTGGGCTGAGGATAAACTAGTCCTAGCTGTAGGTCCCTGTAATAATTCATGTAACCCATTTAAACAATGTAACGGATAATAAATTAATAAAGACCGAGGCCAGGACTCACTCTTAAAATATATATATATATATATATATATATATATGATAGGTTTATTTCGTTAATGATCCAAATCGTTGGTTGAAAATTTTTAACCAACCAATCGTTGGCTGATTATTATAAATTGTAAATGCTAAATTTCTTTAGCCATAAAAAACATTGATTATTTCAAATTATTAAGAAAATGTGATAATTAGTGCTACTAATTAGAACTAAATTGACAACTAATTTAAAGTATGGTGCCGTAATTGGCTAATTATTACAATTAGATTTATTACATATATTATTACATAGTGTTTTTAGAACTATAATTGTAATAATTATGTAATAATGTAATATTATTTATACATGTAATAATATATAATAAATGTAATAATATATAATCAATGTAATAATATATAATCAATGTAATAATATATAATCAATGTAATAATATATAATAAATGTAATAATATTACTTAAAAAAAAATTAAGTACAATGTATTACGTAGTTTATAGTTTTATTAAGATAATATATTTAATACATTATCCAACCTGAAATTTTTGTTCAAGGAAAAATTTCGTCAACTAAACTATCTACATTATAATTATAATTTGGTTCTTTTTCGACTATATTTCCAGTACTTAATTCATTATTATTTTTTTTACCTTCTCCTCCAAAGATTTCATGATTTAGATCGAAACTTTCTTCTAATTTTAAAATCTCATCAAGAGATTCAAATTCTGATACGTAATCCTCATCATTATCATCTTCATCTGTATCACTATTATCATCTAAATCTTCAGCTTCATCTGTTATATTTAACACATCTTCTAAAGTAAGTTCACGGTTAATATGAGAAATTTCTTTAGCATGTGTTGTATAATATTGATGGATCTTTGCTAGTGACTCTACTTTTTCAAATGCTAATTTAGTTCTTTTTTTCCATAAATCTATCCTAAAGTAGAAAAAACTTTTTCATATGAAGTTGAGTGCAGAGTAATAGTAAGAAGTTTATTTGCTAAAATAGGAAGATGATCATAAACATCATCAATTGTTTTTCACCAAGTTTGTGGTGTCTGACAATCAGGTTCAAATGGATCATTAAAAGGTGGATCACCTTCTTTGTAGGATGCAAGTTGTCCTAAGAGTTGCCGACAAGATTCTTTACTATTACCAGAAGTCTTCCATAAAGTACTTGTGCATTTTGCAATCTTTTTATATTGTTCTCTTTTAAAACTATATCCTAATATATATTTTTTATTTAAAAATATAATAGTTTAGTCAATAAAAATCGCGCTTATAACAATTTCATATCTTGTAACATAATAAAAAAAATTTGAAATTTATATTTCTATATTTTTTAGATAATATCACCTCAGCTAACTTTAAACTTTAAATAAAATCTCAATAATTATAATGCTTTTTATTAACAGAGATGTAACAATATTAAAAAAATATAGAAATATTAAATTTTATTTTTTTAAATAAATATATATTGGATTTACCTCTAAATTTGGGATGTAAAAAGTATGCTTATTGATAAATATCTTCATTAAATTCTAAAAGCGATTTATTAATAGAGGCAATACAATAGTTTCAAAAAGTAATGTAATCTTGAGATATTTGATAAATTGTGGTAACAAGTTTGATCAAATGTATATAACAATCTGCTAGTGTTGATTCTTGACTCTCAAGTTGGATAATTGATTCCTTAATAGGCTGTAAGATAGTAGCTATAAATTGTAGATTATTATAAAATGCACCTTTATTCAAGATCGTATATACTTCATTATTTGAAATAATTTCTGAATTATGTTCTAAAATCTTTTAATAATATAAATAATAAAATTAAATTATACTATAATGATTTGCATATTTTAATATAAATATAAATTAATTTACTCGAACAAATGCAACCATTAAACATAAAATAGAATAAATCATATCATAATAACTTGACCAACGGGTTGCTACATATCGTTTAATACCTCCACCTACAATATTATTTATTCTAATTTCATTTTCAAGTGCTGAATTAGCTACATGAAACCTAAAAAATTTAGTAATTAAGATTGCTTGAGACAAAATATGTTTTGCAAAAGATCCTCTCATAATATCTTTGCAAATAAGATTTAGCTGATGGGCTATACAAGATATATTTACTATATAAGAAAACTTTTGGTAATTAAACATCTTGCTGCAGTAACATTTGCTCCACCATCACTAACTACTACGCAAATTTTTTTTGATCCAATTTGAGTGATAATTGTTTCAATTTCCTATGCAAGAAATTCTGCTATATGACTTGAATCTGAGTAATTATGTAAAGCATATAGATGTTTCTTTCGATCAGATGTTAAAAGTAAAAAATTCTAAATTGATCAGTCTCGAGGATCTGTCCAGCCATCAAGTGCCATAAAAAAATAAATATTATTATAAGATTTTATATTTAAATTGCAAAACAATAAATTTATTAATACTTACCAAGTATAATATGATCTTTGGTTTGTAATTCATTTTCTATTTTTGATTCTACCTGAATAATTTGCTTATTAAGAATTTTTCTCGCAAATGTCTTAGAGCTTGGTATTTTAAAACCTGGTTTCAGATCTTGAATCCTTGCACAAAAAATTTTATTTGCAGCAATATTAAAAGAAATTTCTGCACAAGCAAATGCATGACACATTCTATTTTCTAATTGTTTCTGCCTTTTTGATGTTAATTCTTGACTTTCAACATATTTAAAAATGTTATCTTTATTTATAGAATCTATCTTTTGCTTTTTAATTACTTGTTTTTGATTTTCATTCTCACTAGCAAGTTGTTTAAAATAAAGTAATTGTACATCTAATAGTGCTTTAGAACACTTATATACAATATATATTTTAAAAGTTAAAATATCAGCGCGTGTCCATTCTTGTGAGCAGTATTTACAGTTAGCTGAACAATGTCCACTTTTTTTATCTAGCTGATTAAAATGTTTCCAAACTGGATCAAATAGTGGCCAGGTACTTTTTGTTGTTTGTTATTAGTTGTTTCAGAACTAAAAGATGAAGTAAATTCATCATCAGTATCATTTGATGAGGACATTGTTGAAACAAAGAAGATGATTGCTCTAATTTTAAATTTTATACTGATCATTATATTAGTGATAAAGGGTTACCTGACTAGCAAAAATCTGGGTATATATTATATAGTAATAGATAATAATAAGTTACCTGAATAAATAATAATATACGAATAATTAATATTCACTATAATAATAATCCCCAAGACTATATAATACTATAATACAGATTTTTAATGATAAATGATATCTTATAATTATTTTTTGGCTTGAATTATTCTAAGCAATTATAAATTTATCTTCTTAATTTTAATTTATAAATAAGAATCTTACTGTATTATATTTATATTAGCAGATTTTATAATATTCGAATATTTTATATTTGTTATTGTCAACATCTATTTTATTAAAAAAACTTATTATAAAATATTTTACTAAAACTATTTATACTAACAAATTTTTAATATAAATAAATACTTTACGTTTATTCTTTTCTACTCCATATTCTCTATGTTCTCAAAATTATTTATATCTATAATTTTTCTATATCTTATTGTTGATAATATTTGAATATTTTGTTAATTCTTTTAATAGATGATTCACCAGTCATCTGGAGAGCTATGTGATACAGATTATACAAGATTTATATATAAATTATATATAAAATCTTCAAATAGTAAATGTGGAGATTTTTTAAAAAAATGTAAAGAAAACTTTTTTTCTTAAAATTGGCCTGGTAGTTCTTGAGAAATCTTTAAAAAACATTTCGCCAACATATAAAATTTCTTTAAAAAAAATTGATTTTTTTTAAAGAAATTTTATGTCAGTAAAACATTTTTTAAAGATTTCTCAAGAACTACTAGGCCAATTTAGTGTTCTTACTACCATTATATGCATCTTGATGAGCTCTACAACTTTTGTTAAAAGCTCAAGAGTAATTTACTTAGTAAGAAAAAAAATTTTAGAAGAAATCTCTCTATATTTGGCTTAATAGTAAAATTTACTTATAAAATTTGCAGATTCTCTCTGGATAATAGATAAATTGTCTATTAAACACCAATTCTTCTATAATAATAATCAGATTTTTGATAATCAACAAATATCTTTGATTATTTTTTTTAACTCTAATTTATTCTATGCATTGTTTACGTAGTCTACGCAGTAGTATCCGAACTTTCAATCATTTTAACAATTCAACAAACGATATTTGGTTTGTTGGCCATGATATGTTTTGTACAATGCATGTATTATGATAACCCTATATTCATGAGAAACAAAAATAAAACTGGCTTCTTAATTTTGGTTATCTGCATAATGTGGGCCGGATTTCAGAGTGCTTGTATCTTTGGAATTAGGGTAATTATTGTTTTTATATATCTTTGGGATTAGGGTAATTATTTTATTATCATTTTTTTAGAAAATTATCATTCATTGCCAGTGCAATGCATCACCATCCTCTAATTAAATCAAACCAGTAAAGTTTTTTTTAAATGGTTAGATTAGGTTAGGGTGAGCTGATAATTGCAATATTTCGCAATTTCATTGAAAATTTCCAAAAAGTGATTTTGTAAAATTGCTTGATTTGAAATGTTAAACATGATCCTGCACTTTGATTAATTGGTGTCGAATTTGTCTTTGTTGTTACCTATGTTAAATTTTATCAGATTACTTTTATTATATTAGATTTTATTAATTCATTTGTCTTTATATTTTAAATTTAGCTTGCGCATGAAAAGAATATCAATTGGCCAAAAATGGTTATTGGGATAATATCCACAGTACTCGTGTTTGTTGGATATGGACCCCAGTTTTACGAAATCTATCGT